GATGATGAATCAGCCTGGAAATTAACCTTAATTCTGAAACCCAAAGCACACTGGTTTTGTTGCCACTGTTGAGTCTGTTATTTTTCAAGCTCATTTATAAATTGAATAAATCCAAGAACTAAAAATCTTTTATGAGAATGCAGCAATTAAATACTGCCTTTTCCATCCTCAAATCCAGCTGTGTTGTGTGTTGGTGCCGAAGAGGGTTGGAGAGGTAGCATTAAATAGTTATTTAGGGATGCTAATAACATGCTTAAAATGTTTCCATCAAGTGCTTTTGGATGGTGCGATGCCATCTGTGTTACAGTTGATTTAGTTAATTATACAGGCATGAATTCCTTGGGAGAGGGGATGGCATTGCTCTAACAGCTTGTTTGTGAGCAAGAGAACGCAGTGACATGCTATTAAACTCGAGGAATTGGATCTGAAATATATTCCTCACTAATAGTCCTCCCCAAATTACACGGAGTTTAACAGATAATTTGGATGGGTGTGCTATTGGAGTTTATGGCAAAAACTCCAGTGGATTTTTGTACCTTAAATATTGGGAGTTAGCTGAGAAAAAGGAGAAATTGCTTTCCTACCTAGTCACCTGTTTTAATTAATGATTGCTCTTTCTGCAAATTGGCCCTAAGAGTTGTACAATTAAAGAGGTGCCCTGCTGTAAAATGTGCCTGCTGGGATCAGCAGCAATTGTGTCTGCCAGAACTGCAATCACAGACTGTCCTGAGCTGGGACCCAAGGATCACCCAGGGCAGCCCTGCACAGACACCCCAAATCCCCCTGGCACCCCTGGAGTGCTGCCCAAAGGCTCCTGGAGCTCTGGCAGCCTCGGGGCTGTGCCCATCCCCTGGGCAGTGCCAGCACCCTCTGGGCATGGACCTGTCCCTGAATCCATCCAAACCCCTGGCCCAGCCCCAGCTGCTCCCTATAAACCATCATTGACACCCACCTATGGTTTGCACTTGAAACGGGGCAGTGCCAGCACCCTCTGGGCATGGGCCTGTCCCTGAATCCATCCAAACCCCCTGGCCCAGCTCCAGCTGCTCCCTATAAACCATCATTGACACCCACCTATGGTTTGCACTTGAAACAAAACCCAGAAAAGCTGTGTGAGGCTGATGATGAAGAACCAGAGGGTGGGATTTGGGTCCCTGGCTGTGCCACAAACAGGGAACTTCACACACAAGGGGAGGCTGCAAGTGTGGAGCTCACAAAGGACACGGTCCACCCATCAGAGAGTTAAAGCCAACAGTGGTGGAAGGATTAGTCTTTGAGGAAAAATCCAGGTCAGTTGGGATTTGACATGTGTCTGTTTAGCTGCCGCTGAATCAATCTAATCCTCAGCAAAACTTTGGCTAGACTTCCATCTGCAGAGATGTCAGGGGTGAGGGGCGGAATTATTTAGAATTTAAAGCAGATATTATATCATGAAAGATAGGTTTCAGAGCTTCCTTCTGGGAAGCATTGGTTGGTCATTTATTTCCCTTCTGGAAATTGGAATTATTTTGAATTTAAAGCAGATATTATATTTAAAGCAGATATTATATTATATAAACCTGCCTGGCCTGGCAGGTTTCAGAGCTTCCTTCTGGGAAGCATTGGTTGGTCATTTATTTCCCTTCTGGAAATGGAGAGCTGCTCTACAGCAGCAGCTTGGGTGCCAGGGTGTGTTACCTTGGCAGGGTGGGGAGGCACCTGTGTGTTACCTGAGCAACTCCCTCAGCTGGAGCACGGACACTCAGGTGTGCCTCTGGGGAGGTCTGGGTTGGGTCACACACTGCTTGTATTTAAAAAAATGGTATCAAATTAGTCTCAATCTAAATAGCACAGAGAAAAAAATTCCTCATAGAATGTCCAGGGAAGGGAATGGAGCTGGGAAGGGGCTGGAGAATTCCTGAGGAGCTGGGAAGGGGCTGAGCCTGGGCAAAGGAGGCTGAGGGGGCCCTTGTGGCTCTGCACAGCTCCTGCCAGGAGGGGACAGCCGGGGGTCGGGCTGTGCTCCAGGGAACAGGGACAGGAGCAGAGAGAACGGCCCCAGGCTGGGCCAGGGCAGGTCAGGTGGGGCAAAGCAGGAATTTCCCCATGGAAAGGGGGCTCAGGCCCTGGCACTGCCCAGGGAGGGTTGGAGTGCCATCCCTGCGGGTGTCACCTGGAGGTGGCACTCAGAGCTGGGGATGGGTGGGGATGTGCACAGCTGGCACTCCGTGGGCTGGGAGGGATTTTCCAGCCCCAGGGGTTGGATTCTGCATGTGAATCCATGGGGTCTGCACGTGAAGGAAATGCACAACAGAGCCCTGAGTGCAGCACAATCCCTGCCTTGGCCTGCTCTCTCCTTTTCCCGTGCAATTCCCAACAGGTTTCCTCTCCCCTTGCAGCTGAGGGAGGGATGCTCTGTTTACATGGATAAATGACAAATGTTTATGGGATAAAGCCCAAAGCACAGCTCCAGCATGGGGCACGATTGCATGGCTTAGCATGAAATTCCTTTTCAGAGGAAAACTCATTTTCTTGTGTTTGGATCTCTAGGCTGGTGCAGTCCTAACGGAACGTGGATATTACTCATGTGAAAAAGTGGGAGCTCAGCCATGAACAGTATTATAGTTTCTTTCTGTCATAGTATTTCAGGGTGCACCAGAGGCTCAAAAAGGTTTGTTTAAACTAATAAATCAGAACAATTTGTCAAAAACAGAGACCACCAGCGCTCGCAGGGCTGTGGCAGACCTTGGCAATGTTCCATATTTGTAAGAACAGTGTTCTGCTTTCAAATATTGGTACCCTGGGTAGGGATTAATTCACTTATTTTTAAGCATGGTGAAACATTCATTTCTGCAACTGCTACCCAGAAAACACATTTCCCAATTAGTCTTGATGTCTGGATTGCAAGTCAGAGGCACAGGGAGCGCTGAGCCCTGCTCAAGGCAGCTCTGATGCATTATTGATGCTGTTTTCAATATCAAACATGCCAGGAATCAGATGCATAATCTATTCTGCCAGCATCAGAAATGCCATGACCTTTCTGTCCTATTAAGGTGATGTGTCTGATAGCTGCCCCTTCTGTGTAACTCACTGGGAAAATAAAGGAAAAATCCCGGGGCAGGTGGCTGGTGTTCCAGGGGATGTCTCCTGTGCCCAGTGCCGTGGGGAGGGGGAGCTGCTCTGTGCCGTGCTGAGGGTCTGTGCTCAGGGACTCCCGAGGTCCCCACGTGTCCCCAGTGCCAGAGCAGAGCCTGGGGCAGCAGCTCTGTGTCCCCTCAGCTGGGAGCCACTCCTGCCTGCTTCTGGCTCAGCACTGCTGGGTTGGGAGCGTTCCTGTGGCGTGTTTTCCTCCCAGTGTTTGTGATAAATGCTCCTTCAGGCCTGGCCTGGCAGCTGGCCCGGGGTCCCAGCTGGCCCCTGTGCCCGGGGCTGCTCCGGCTGCGGGGCCACTCTTGTGGGAGCACAAGCCCCCACTGTGGTGCCTCCAACAATGGCACTTGTCCCCCTGCCCTCACACGAGGCCGTGGCTGTCACTGGGAGCTGCAGTGCCCTGTTCAGCCCTGTTCCATTCTGTTGTTCCCTGGGAACAACAGCCCAGCGAGTCCAGCTCTGCTGGGGCAGCTGCCAGGGCTGGGCTCTGCTGGCCCAGCATCAGATATATCCATCCATCCATCCATCTATCCATCTATCTATCTATCTAATCTATTCTATTCTATATATATGTATCTGTAATATATCTATATATATATATGTATCTATATCTATCTCTACATATATGTGTATATATATATATATATACACACACCTGGCTGCAGCATCACACCTGGGCTCTGCCACCCTTCACATCCCCAGTGCTGTGCCAAGGGAAGGCTCCACCATCACCTCCTCAGGCCCTCCACTCCTCCTCGGGGCTGGACATTGGTGGCATTGGTGGCATTGGTGACATGGCTTAGTGGACACAAGGTCATTCCTGGGTGACCCTGGGCAGGGCCAGGAGTTGGAGCCCAATGGTCTAAGCAGCTGCTTGCCATGAAATGTGTCAGTTCATACCGTTAAGCCTTCACAACATTTTAAAGAAAATTAAGACGCTGCAACGCTGTAAGCATCAGGATCTGTGCTCTACAAACTGACCTCGGGCAGAATTCCCACCCAGCAAACTCTGCTCCCCGGTACCAGCTCCTGAGTTTTCTGTAAGCACGCAGATGTAAATTCCCTGCCAAAGGAATCCTGTTAGCAATCCCCGTACCATTCAAATGATGACTTGCCTGCCATTCATGTGGAAGCAGTTAAAGGTTCTGGGTCGTTTCCTCGGGTTGTGAACTAACCTGGCTCACTCTGCCTCTGCCATTGCAGGGAATCCTCTCAGAAAATAATTGCAATGTGCACAAAGGGCTCGTTTGCTGCAGCAGGTACAGCTCTGTGCCTGTGGCTACAGGCTGCCCCATTTTTTATCACTAAAGAAAGGGGGTTTTAAATCCATTGGTGTGTTGTGTCTGCTTGCACAAAGCAGCAAGAATCTTAAATGCAAAGAACATGTACTCATGTTACAGATTTCTCAGGCAATATCTTTAAAATTTAATTTATTTCTATATCTTTGCCCAATCAAACGTGTTTCTTTTTATAGAAACTTCCAGGCTCCAAAGTCAGACACCAGCCTGAGAAACAGCAGAACTGAGACTGTTGGTACCACCTTGGTTTGGACAATTAATATTAGGAATGTTATTTTATTTTCCCACTTGTTTCTCCAGGTCTCAGCCTCCCTCCTCCCCTCTGACCCACTGTCCTATGTGATTTCTCTGGCTCTCAGCAGCTCTGCCCTCCCAAACTCCAGCCCTCTCCCAGCCTTAGATCCCATTTTTATACCCCCAGAGCAGCTGCCCCCCTTGGCTCTTTCCTCCCTGATAGATTCAGGCTTTTGCTCTTGGAATTCACACCAGGCCCTTTTTTATCACAATACTGTTGTGGAGGTTTTTCCTGCTGCTGTTTTGCTGTTCTCATGTGTGGTTGCTCTCTCCTTGCAGCTGCCCTGACCTGCTGAGCCCCATCCCGTGCCTGGACAGGGACAGAGCCTCTGCTGTGCTGGACCATGAGGGACAGAGCCAGGCACTGAGGGTCTCCAGCCAGGAACACTGCTGCCCACCTTAACAGGATTGCTTTAAAAAGGTTGGAATGTTTCCCCAAATCTCAGCACTTTTTACTGGAACTTCGTAGTACGACCATTCCTTGGTTCCATGATTCTATGAAAACAGAATAGAAATAAAATCTTCCCAGTGGTTGCTGTCTCTGAGCCATGGCAGTGCCAGGAACTGGTGGGTGGGTGTCCCTCCTGAATTCCACGTCCTCTGCTCTGTGTGCATTCCATACCCTCTGCCCTGCGTGGGTTCCCCATCCTCTGCCCTGCGTGGGTTCCCCATCCTCTGCCCTGTGTGGGTTCCCCATCCTCTGCCCTGTGTGGGTTCCCCATCCTCTGGACTGTCTGAATTCCCCATCCTCTGCCCTGCGTGGGCTCCAGGACAGTAATTGTCCAGATGAAGGAATGGACAGTGCCTGGCAGGAGGGTGCAGCTGGGGGGACAGGCCCTGCTCCCAGGGAACGAGGAATGGGACAAGAGGCTGCATCAGAGGAGGATCAGGTTGGATATTGGGCTGCACTTCTCCATGGAAAGGGCTGTCCAGCCCAGATGGGAAGTCCCCATCCCTGGAGGGATGTAAGAGCCTTGTGGATGTGGCACCTGGAGATGGGGGGGCTGGACTGAATGGCCTTAGAGGACTTTTCCACCTGAGCAGAGCTGTGATTGCACACCTATCCCATGGAATGCAGCCCTCAGCTGGCCCTTCCATGTGAGCAGAGCTGTGATTGCACACCTATCCCAGGGAGTGCAGCCCCCAGCTGACCCTTCCATGTGAGCAGAGCTGTGATTGCACACCTATCCCAGGGAGTGCAGCCCACAGCTGACCCTTCCACCTGAACAAAGCTGCGATGGCACACCTATCCCAGGGAGTGCAGCCCCCAGCTGGCCCTCGGGGTGTTTCGGGTGCTGTGTCCCGGCCAGGCAGTGACAGCCTGTGCCCTGTCCCTCCCTGCAGGCCCCAGAAGATGTAGAGCGGGAGCAGCGAGCCGCGGGGCCGGGCGTCCCTCACCATGGCCAAGAGGGGCTCCAGCAGCCGCGCCAGGGGGGACAAGCCCGACGCCTTGGCCGCCCTGCAGGCTGCCAACGAGGAGCTCAGGGCCAAGCTCACCGACATCCAGATCGAGCTGCAGCAGGAGAAGAGTAAGGTGGGCAGCTTCCCCTGCCGTGGGTGCGGTTCGGTGTCAGCGGAGGGGTCAGGAATGGCACAGTTCTCCCTGCTGGTTCTTCCCTTTCCCTTTGACACTGATGCCATTTGGGTTTGGCACTCTGACTCCTCCAAAGCGAGTGCTTACCCACGTGTGCAGCACTAAACCCCAGCTGTGCCTCCTGCCTGACTCCCAGGTTCCAAGGAGGCACAGCTTCTCCCTCAGCCTTTGGGAGAGGGAGGGCAAATGGGGCTGGAGCCTCAGCTCTAAGAGTTCCAGCCCTTGCCCTCAGATCACTTCTCAGCAGGAGCATGGAATATTATTTGTTTTTCCCCAATTCTCCAAATCAGTTTCCACAGATAGACTTTGGGGGGGTTTCGGTTCCAGAATAGAAATGTGTTACCCTGCAGGGACAAAATGATAGTTTGCATTTTCCCATGAATTTGCATCACTATCAGGCATTTCAGACCATGAATCTGACACACAGGTATAAATACATAGAACATCTGTTGATCCTTTTGCTGTGCAGCAGTATTTGCAGTGTTAAGGCTGAGGACTTTGTTTTCCTTCTCCTTGTCCTTCACAGCCACTTCTGGCCATGGCTTCTCTAGAGTTTATGGCATAGATTTAAACTGAAACATCACTTGAGCCTTGTGTGGTCAGGTACAGTCAGTTATTTCTGCTGAATAATTCAGCACTTAAAAAGCATCTGGTAAAGTGCAGCTGTTTGGGGCTTCACAGGAGCTTGCACAGAGATTTTTGTGTCCTGCCTGTGCATGTGCAGGTTTAGCCTGTGTGCCTGAGCGGGCCACAGTGATGGCCTTGGCATCTGATTCTTCCCTTATCTTGGGGGTAATGTGCTGTGAGAGCTTCTGCAGAATAAAGTAAGGACTCGGACTTACTCGGAAGGTGCTGACTGATTCCTGAATGTGTATTAAACATGAGCCTGCAGTGAAAGAAGGGTCTTTGCCAGCAGCAGTTTGTAGACACAGACATACCAGCACTGAGGTGTAGTACTGTAAAGTCATCTGTACTACTTTTAAATAATATCATGATATGTATTCATTGTTTGGTTTACTGAAAATACTATTTTTTTTTCCCTTATAGGTCAGCAAGTTGGAAAGGGAGAAGAATCAGGAAGTGAAGCAGATCAAGGAGCACGAACAGCATAAAAGCACAGTGGTGGTCACAGAGCTCAAAGTCAAACTTCACGAAGACAAAATGAAAGAGCTCCAAGCTGTCCGAGAAACTCTTCTGAGACAGCACGAGGCTGAGCTGCTGAGAGTGATAAAAATTAAGGACAATGAAATCCAGCGGCTGCAGACCCTGCTGAACGCCGTGCGCGACGGGGCCCCCGACAAGGTGAAGACGGTGCTGCTCACCGAGGCCAAGGAGGAGGCCAAGAGGGGCTTCGAGGTGGAGAAAATCAAAATGCAGCAAGAGATCTCCGAGCTGAAGGGGGCGAAGAAGCAGGTGGAGGAGGCTCTGACGATGGTGATCCAGGCTGACAAAATCAAGGCGGCGGAGATCAGGAGCGTGTACCACCTGCACCAGGAGGAGATCACCCGCATCAAGCGCGAGTGCGAGAGGGAGATCCGCCGGCTGGTACGTGTCCCTCCCTGCTCCTGCAGCCCGTGCTCTGCAGGAAATGGGCACTGCTGGGCAGCTGTGGAACTCCGGGGCTTGCTCCAGGTCTGTCTGCGTTTGCTCGTAGAAAGGGCAAAGTGGTTTTTAAAGGTATCAGGATGGTTGGTGAGAAGCTCCTTTATCCACGTGGATAAAGAACCTGTGGATGTTGTTCACATTAAAGGTAGCAGGAAGAGCCCTCAGGTTCCTGGCTGCTCAGGGGAATGCTACAGCGGTTATGTGTCTTGGGTTATGCCCCTATTTCCTCACCCAGCCTTCCTTCCTCAGCCACCTTGGTCCCTCCTTTCCTGCCTTCGCTGGTTCCCATGGACATCCCATAGTGAGGCTTACAGAACCCCAGATGCTCTTTGCCTGCACCCCTGGGTGCTGCCCACGCAGCAGGGCACTCAGGGGAGTTCTCTCCATGCCCACCGTGGTGGTTTTCCCCAGGACAGGGCTGGTTCTGCTCCTGTGTGGCTCCCCCCTGAGCAGGTGCCTGGGATCTCACCTGGCCTCAGGTGTGGCTGCTCAGCCTGCCCTCACCTCACCCAACACCTGATCCTCAGCTGCAGCAGCTGCACTCTCAAAGGGATCAGCTCCACACCTGGGGAGGATGGAAGGGCTGCTGGTGCTTGGAAAAGGGGGCAATCCCTGTGGGAGGGAGCTCCTCACAGGGAAGGCTTTGCAGCAGAGCCTGGCAGGCCAGCAGCGCCTTGTGGGGCTCAGGGGTCACTGCTGCTGTCCCTGACCCACACGCTGAGCCCCCGAGGGCTGCTGCCCTGCCCAGGGCTGGGTCACACCCTGCCCTGAGCTGTGTGTTGGGTCTTGTCTCAGTGCCTGTGTGGTGTCACCATCGTCCTGTGTTTGCCATGCTGCTTTACAGCTCTCAGCGTCCTGGGGCAGACACAGCCAGCTCTCCTCTGTATCATTAGCCCTCGGCTGTTACCCAAACCCTAAATAAATTTAAAATGCCCACAGAGCTTCAGCCTGGCCCCAGATCAAAGGCTGGCAGTGTGGCCATGCTGCAGAGACCCCCTGCAGGACCCCTGTCCTGGAGGATGCTGTCCAGCATCACCTGAGCCCTGACCCCCAAAGGCCCTGGCAGGGACTTTGCAGTGTTCTTTGCCTTTATTTAGCCTCCTCTCAGACTTCAGGCTGTTAAGGTTTTTCATAGATTATTTTATTTTTATGAAGAGGATATTAAAAACCATTTACAAGCAACTGCTCCATTGATGCTGCTCAAATATCCTGCAGTGTAAGTACATTCTCCACTCACCATACATCACTGGTGCATTGATTTCATTCAGCACAGTGAATGGGGGGCTAATGGACATCCTAAATAAACTTGCTGCATCACCTGGAAAGGTCCCACTAATGGCCTTTAATGCAGAAGCTGTAAAGTAAATATGGTCTTAGTTACAGGGAACAGAGTGGTTCAATGGGGTGTCGTCTAAACTGCCTTTGAAAATCAAACTTTTTTTTAAAAGTTCCTGCTTGTAACAATCAGATTGGCTCACTGCACCAATGAAATGACCTGATGCCATGGCTTTGCCAAGCCCTGAGTGCCTCAAGTGCTCTCAGCTCCATGGGCTCCTCAGTTATCCTGGTGGGAGCTGGTGGCTCCTGGCACCTTGTGGGGAGAGCCCTGGGGTCTGGTGCAGGGCTGTGCAGTGCCCTGCTAACAGGGAATCGGGGACTGGCTCAGCTTCAGGGCACTGTCTGTGCTTGCATGGACTGGCAGCCAGGGACAGGAGCAGAGGGAACGGCCCCAGGCTGGGCCAGGGCAGCTCAGGGTGGGCACAGCAGGAATTTCCCCATGGAAAGGGGGCTCAGGCCTTGGCACTGCCCAGGGAGGGCTGGAGTGCCATCCCTGCGGGTGTCACCTGGAGGTGGCACTCAGAGCTGGGGATGGGCACAGCTGGCACTCCAGGGTCTGTGGGTCTGGGTGTTCTCCAGATAAACCCCAGCTCCTCACTGCAGCCATTCCCTGGCCAGGTGGATGCCAAAGGTTCCAGCCCCTTGCCGTGGAGCAGGGCTGGCAGCTCCCAGCACGGCAGGCGGCACAGGAAGGCAGTTGGGTGTTTTGGGGTGTTTTTGAGTGTTTTTAGGTGTTTTTGGGTATGCCCAGGCTGCTGAGCCCCCGGTGCCATGCTGGCACACGTGGCTGCTGTGCCTGTGCCTGCCCGGGCTGGTTCAGCTGCCCTGGCTCACAGCTCAGGGGGGCCCTGCAGGAGATGGAATCCCCCCGCAGATGGCAAAGAGCGCCTGTGGCAGCAGCCTCCCTTGGAGAGAATGTCTCATTTTAGTCAGCCGCTCTTAAATTTCAATTTGTGCATTCTAAACCGCCTTAAACCCCTGCATGGCTGTGTGTAATGACATTTGTGTGGCAGGAGCACGCCCTGCTGAGTGTGTGCACAGCCAGGCCAGCAGCTTTCAGCCTGCAGCGCTCCCCAAGCCTTGATGCTTGCTAAGTAGGACCAAAATTCCCTGTGGTACAGAGCATTTAAACTTTAATTAACTCTGGGTTGCTCAGGAAGGAGGAGCTCTGCACAGCCATGGCCACTGCAGCCTCCTCACTCCCATCTCCTTTTTCAGGGGACTGAGAAATCAGAAAAACTGAGGAAATGGGATTTGCTGGAGCCTGGGGAGTGGTTATTTTCAATCTAGATAAACTTTAGCTGATCAGGAGTATAAAAGCTTTAATAACCTGTGCCAATCCCCCTGTGAGACCACTGGAGATGGAGAGCTTCACAGCTCCCTGGAGGCAGGGCCACCCACAGCCCAAGAGGGGGTCAAGGTTCTGAGCCTCTGCTCTCAGAGACCCTGAGCCCTGCCAGACGGTGCTGAGGTAGTGAAGATGTCTGATGCCAAGGTGGGGTCACATGGAAGGGTAGGAAGCTGACTTTTAAATATTGATTTTATTGGTGATTGATTCAGTCTTTACCCTCTGCTTTTGATTCCCTCATGTGTTGAGGAACCCCCATATCTGGGACTGTACAGGTGGCTCAGCACCTGAAAGGCAGACACACGTTCAAGGTGAACTCTTCCTTCTTCCACCTGGGGATTTTTTAGTCATTTGTGGTTTACCACAATTACCATTACTCATTTACCACTTTTTTTTTTTTTCCAACTAAACCTGCCGTGCCCACAGACCCACACTGCTGCCAGTGAGTTCTGGGCCCTTGCCCTGCCTCTCCTTCCTCCCTCCGTGTGCTCAGCACATCTTTCCCCTCCGTCCCTGCTCTTCCCACACTGTCTCTGTCTGTCAGTGGCTGCAGGCTCCAAACTTGTGCATGTGTCATGTAGAGGAATTTGCTCAGGTGAAGGGAGATGTCAGTGCTGGTGTTTGCTTGTGGTTTATGAAGGTTATGTTTAGGGATTTGGTTTTTTTTTCTGGAAAACAAACCGTTAGTGAAATGCTGTGAAATGTTTTGTGTTTTCTCATCTCTTTGTTCCTCCCAATTTCATGTGTTGCCTTTGTTGTAATGTCTTTGTTTCCGTATAAGTAAGAATCAACTACCCAATATTCTGCTTATTTTCTACAAACAATCATTTGATGATGTGTTATCTTCTCATCTGTGCATCCATTAAGTTTCTCCTCATGAGGCATTTAGCAGGAAGACTTCAGGTGCTCTGGAGCCCCTGTGTCTTTGTTTCATCCAAAGCCAGCAGACGCTGCCTTCACGGACATTGCTGGAAGGGTCGTTAGTCATGGCACCCAAAATCCCTGTCATTTGCTCCATTTTGCTTTCCTGGTACCTGGGTGACCTGTCCTGCGTGGGCCACGTTGGCATTTACTGCAAACCAAGTCCTTGCAGTGACTGTTGCCTCCCTCTGTCGTTTTTTCCCAGGTTTACAGACAAAGCAGAGATAAAAGTAATACAGCTCTTACAAGGCAAAATGTTCTTATTTGAAGCAGGCCAGGTTTAAAAACTGACCATTGAAATTAAATGTCTGAAGTTTCAAAATCCGAAGGCAAAAATCCTGAGTTTCTGGAGGCTGAAAGAGCTGGCAGAGCCCTGGGGCAGGGCTGTGACTGCTGCCTTCCCGTGGAACCCCTGCCACTGGTGCTGAGAGCAGCTCTGCAGCCCTGGGGATGTGCCAGGGGTCCGGCCCGGGCAGCACCCAGCCCTGCTGGGACCAGGGATTGCCTGTGCTGGGCTGGGATCAGCTGGGCTGGGACCAGGGATTCCCTGTGCTGGGCTGGGATCAGCTGGGCTGGGACCAGGGATTCCCTGTGCTGGGCTGGGATCAGCTGGGCTGGGACCAGGGATTCCCTGTGCTGGGCTGGGATCAGCTGGGCTGGGATCAGCGATTTCCTTCACTGGCAGGACCCAGCTGCCCTCATGAACTCCAGCCAGACCCCAGGGTCAGATCCTGGCTGATCCCATGGGATGTGCACAGGCAAACAGGGAAGGAGAGTGTTAGAGGTCACTGGGCCTTTGTCATTTAAGCACTTCATGATTTTGCATAATGTTTATTATGTGTAAGTAAAGCCTCTCATGGAAGAGGAATTGCTCACAAGGGAGAGTTTTGGACAAAAAAATTTTTAAAAAAATTATATTTCTTCTAGGAATTTTGAGTATTTAAAGGATACTGAGGTTTAAAAATTAATAATCTACATTTTCTAGAGGTGACATCCAAGCAAAACGCTGCAGAATTGTTAAAGTGTTTGAGTGAAGCCATCCAAGTGTGATGCGAATGTCAAGCCTTAATTTTTTTTAAAGATACTCTGAAGTGGCGATAGGAATTTCAGGCTGTTTGCCAATATTTCACTGCAAGCTGCCTGCTGAAGGAGGGGTTTGCTGCTGCGTGGCCTGGAGCCGGGCGGTGCTGCAGCCTGGTGCTCAGTGTCACTGTCACTGTCACCGTGCTGCGGTGGCGGGCAGCGGTGCCGGGCCACCCTGGGGTGCTCGGTGCTGCCGAGCCCTGTGTGACTGTGTTCTGTTCTCCTTGTAGATGGAGGAGATTAAGTTTAAGGACAGAGCAGTCTTCGTGCTGGAGAGAGAGTTAGGGGTGCGAGCCGGGCATGCTCAGAGACTGCAGCTCCAAAAGGAGGCTTTAGATGAACAACTGTCCCAGCTCAAAGAGTCTGACCGGCACCTGAGCAGCCCCAAGCGGGAACTTCCTTATGCAAGTGGTGCAGGAGACGCTTCAGATCATTCGGGAAGCCCCGTAAGCACTTCCACGTGGTTTCACCTAAACGAGCGACCAAACGAGTGGCAGAATCTTGATGAGTGCACCCTGCAGCAAGGGCTGTCCCATGGCTGTGCAGGGCTCCTGAGGCACCTGCTCGTGCTCTGGCTTTTGTCGTGCCCAAACCGTTGAGATTTCCAATCAAACCTCGCCATGGGAGAGCTTTTGCTTTCTGTCGTTTTGTTTCCCAGTCAGTTTGGTTTGGTTTGGTTTGATTTGGTTTGGTTTTGTCAGCAGGGTGGAATTCTCTGTTCTTTCTCTCCTTTCCTCACCGTACCATGCTCAGCCACCCGCCTTGGTTTGACGGTTTGACACGGTTCTGCCAACAAACGATGCAAATGCATTTCTCACCAAGTGCTGTTTGTGTGCGAGCTCTGGGAGGCGCGAGCTGCGCCTTGGGGAGCAGATGTACGAGGCCAGTTCCAGAGGGGACGGGAGGGCAGGGCAGGGCAGCAGGAGCCCTGCAGCCCCCAGGGCAGCCCTGTCCTGCTGCTGGCTGTCAGCAGGACACCAAGTGAACCAAAGACCTCCTAACCTCTTCTCTGCTGTTTATTCCCTGCAATAGCCAGAACATTCGATTGGAGTGACCCCTCCACGGTGGCTTTTGCAGTGTAACTCTGGCCCCTCCCTGCTGGGACCCCCTTTGCCCAGACAAGCCCTGGGTAACTGCCCTCGTGCCTCTGATGTGTGCAGGTCGTCCTCATTGCTGATCCTCATCAAGATTTCTTTTGCGACAGCCTTGCTTGTCTCAGTACAAGTGTAAAACTTATACCTGAGCAGACCAATCTGTTTTATTCTCTGGCCCAAGCCTCTCCTGCACCTGTTGAATGAGGAACCCTAGACCTCCCAAAAGTGCCACCAGCACTGTGGGCACTAATTTGCCTCTCTCTAGCTGTACTCAACTTCTGTCAAATGCCAGAACAAGTCATAGAGAAGGGGGAAAGTCTGTCAGTAGCTGTAACTCCTCTCTGATTCTGAACGAGAACACATCTACCTATATCTCTATTCATTCCTAATTTGATTGAAGCATTTTCACTCAGATAAAGTGCTACCCCTGTGGCCTTACGAGTGACCCTTTAGGACCCCTTAAGGGCCACAGCTTTCTGGAAGAAGAGCTTATTCAATGCGCAATTGCATGGATTTTCCCCATTCAGTAATTCAGTAATTTTAATACCAGTTTCTTACGACCAAGTCCTCAGAGTGGTCGATGTGTCTGAAGCTCTCAGTTCAACAGTGGCATCATTGGAACACGGCCTTCAGTTTTGATATTTTCTGTTGTTTCCAAGTTTACCATTTGTAAACTTTGTGTTTGCACATTTGTATTGTCACATTTGTGACGATGTATTTGCATATGCATATACATATGCATATACATACCTCTGCATTTGCATTCTTTGTTACGTTTCCACTCCTCACTCCCCATTGGGCTCACCCTGCAGCTTTCCATGGTCTCTTGGGCTCCACGGGTTACACTCTGCCCGATGACATTTAAAGTGTTTGGATTCGGGATAAGAAAAGGTTTGAGCTTTGCCAATGTGCTCTTGCATGTACACTTATGAACAGTTATTTGCAGTTGATCTTTGTTTTAGGAACAGCAGTTGGATGAAAAGGATGCCCGGCGCTTCCAGCTGAAAATCGCGGAGCTGAGCGGGATCATCCGCAAGCTGGAGGACAGGAACGCGCTGCTGTCGGAGGAGAGGAACGAGCTGGTGAGTGCAGCAGTGCCAGGCCTGTCCCACAAACACCCCGGGGTTTGCTCCTGGGCTGCCTGGAAACCAGGCGCTGCCTCCTTCTCCTCCTCCTCAGCTCGCTGCTCGGGCTCGGCCGTGGCCCGCTTGGCTCGTGCAACCATGGATTTTTGAGATGGCATTAGCTCGAATTAGATGCATTTCTTCTTAAAAATATGTACATTCTCTACATTGACTGTTTGCTACACAGGCATAATGACTTCTCATGTGGGAATGCTCTCTTCCCAATGGAAAAGCACAAGAGTTTTTATCAGTTCTGCTTTGCATCGGGAGAAAATACTTCTAGCGTGATAGTTACAGAAAGTAGTTAATGTATTTGATGAAAAAGCCCCATAGGTGTTATTTTTCTCGTTATCTTTCAGCTGAAACGTCTCAGAGAAGCAGAAAGTCAGTATAAGCCCATTTTGGACAAAAACAAACGCCTCAGTAGGAAGAATGAGGAGCTGTCACATGCCTTACGTCGAATGGAAAACAAACTGAAATTTGTGACGCAGGAAAACATTGCCATGGTGAGTGCCTTGCTCCTGGGAGCAGGGGCTGTGCAGCTGGTGGGGCTGAGCGAGTCAGGCTTTGGCCCACACTTGCAGGTTCCATTCTGGCAAGGTCCCTTCCAACCCAAACTAACCTGGCATTCCATGGTTCACCTTCAACTTTCCTGCCAGAATCACCTCCCAGTCCCTGGGAATCTGCACCAGAGACCCTGCCCCTGTTTCCAGCTGGAGGAGCAGGATGTCTGGCACACATGGAGCCCGATGGGGCTCAGCAGAAGGGCAGCAGGAGAGCTGCCAGGGCAGCCACTGGACAGATGTCTTTTACTTGCTGTAAAGGGAAGGGCCAGACAAGTCCCTGGCAAAGCCTCCTGATCATTTCCTCTTCTGCCCTGTGGTTTTTGGATTCTAGAGGCAAAGAACGGGAGCAATAAGGAGACCAAGCTCCCTAAATGACCTTGACCACAGCCAGGAGGAAAGGGAAGTGGATTTCCTGAGACTACAAGTTATTGAGCAGCAAAACATCATTGATGAGCTCTCCAAGGTGAGATGGGAGGCTGCTGTCTCATGGGAGACTGCCCAAGGGCAGAGCAGAGGAAGCCCGAGGAAGGGGTGCCCGAGCTTCTGGCAGCTGATGGGCACAGTGGGCAGCAGGGGAACCTGGCAGGCATTTCTGTGCTTGCTAGTAATAGAAATTATCTGTGGTGTGGTGTTTGGGAAAACCCTTTCAGTCTGCATTGGCCTGGCATGACAGAGCCCTGTCCTTGCATGTGCTGGTGGCCACATCTGGGAGGGAAACTGTCCGAGCTCCTTCAGCTGGACACACCCCCAGGGCTGAAGATTCCTGGGTACAGGGAGGGGTCTGCAGTCCTGGGCTTGGGGTTTTGCTTCCTTCTCAACATGTTCTCAGTCCTTGGAAACAGAAAACCCCAAAATCATGATACTCCTCTGGAAAATAACTTTTGTTCCTTCCCTCTCTTTTTAAGCCTGTCCAGTTACTGACATTATTTCATTGTTTTCATTAGACCCTGGAGACTGCTGGCTATGTGAAGAGTGTCATGGTAAGAGTGACATTAGCTTCCTCCTCATCTATATATGCTTTAAATTGCTGTTCATGGAAAGCAGGCAGGGTACAATAATATTTATTCCCCCTTCCATCTGTGAAGGGAGCTGACCCAGGGGTTTCCTCAGAGCAGATTTTTATCAGCAGCTGTTCACGAGAGAAAAGCACAGTGAATGTGGGGAGGAAAGCTTTAATCCCCCCACCTGCCCTGATGGCCAAGGGAAAGTGTCCCCATCTCCAGGGCAGCTCTGTCCCCTTGGAACTGCATTTCTTCACCCTGGCTACCCCTGGCTTTGTGCCACCCACTGCAGGGTGTGCTCAGCCCTGCCCTTGCCCCTTCCCTGGGCTGGGGTGGGCAGGGATGGTTGGGGTTCCACCGGGGATGGGTATTGATGGGATGTGCTGTTCCATTGCCAGGCAGCGGGTGTTCAATGTCCCTGCTGCTGGCCCGGGGCTGGCCACCAGGCTGAGCAGCAGCACATGCCAGTGTCCCCAAGGCTGAGCAGCAGCACATGCCAGTGTCCCCAAGGCTGAGCAGCAGCACATGCCAGTGTCCCCAAGGTCACCACGGCCTGGCACCCGGCGGGTGAAATGGGACAGATGAGGGTTTCCCTTGTAGGGCCTCCCTCTCTGCACTCCTGGGCTTTACAAGTCCAGAACACAGACTTTTTCCTGAGTACTGTAAAAAATCCACCTAATACCACAGAGAGGAAGAAATTGTTCCCTGGCAGGGTGGGCAGCCCTGGCACTGGGGCTGCCCCTGGATCCCTGGCAGTGCCCTGGATGTGGCTGGGAGCACCTGGGACAGGGGAAGGTGTCCCTGCCATGGCAGGGGTGAAAGGAGGTGATATTTAAGGTCCCTCCAACCTGGAATTTGAGTATTCTATTATTTCCTCCAATTGGAAAAATTGCTGGCAGCAGTAAAGGCTCAAACCTCCCTCCAGAGGCAGAGGGAACCTGCAGGTCCTTAGAGAAGGGGCTGAGCCTGGAAGTGCAGGGTTCAAGAGGCCCTGCAGTGTGTGCAGGGCACTGCTGGGCGTGTGCCCCTTCCAGAGCCACCAGGTGCCACCAGGGACGGGGCAGGAGCAGAGCCAGGGCAGGGGCTGCAGGGCCACGGTCACCTAGGGAGCAGCTCCAAGGGGACACCCAAACCCTCAGCATAAAGCTCATCATCAGCTTTATTTTAGCTTGATTTTCATGGACATAAAGAGCAATTCCTAGCTGTCTGTGGCAAAGCTGGAAGATGTTGGAGTAAATAACCCAGGAGTGGTGACAGTGTGGGACAGTGGCCAGCAGGGACATTCCTGTCTGTTGCTGCCCCATGGCTCCTTGTACTGACGAGGTTCATGTCAGTACCTGCTCTCTGAAAACAGCTCACACGTGTCTCTGACTCTTGCAGGAACGTGACAAGCTGCTGAGGTTCAGGAAGCAAAGGAAAAAAATGACAAGAATTCCTAAGGTAAAAAACAAAGCCTTCCACGGTGGCATGCTGATGGACAGGGCTGGGGTGCTCAGAGCACTCAGGGCCAGGGCAGTGCTCTCCTCGGGGGTCTGCAGATGGGGCCTGAGCTCCACTTTGGGTGATGTAGTTCAGGGGCATTGGCAGACTGTATTGGGATATTCAGGGGACCTGTTTGCATCGAGCATTCTGAGCCTTTCCATGCTCTGCATTTACCCTGTGGGACTCTGGTGGGATGTGGTTGTCTTAAGAGCAGACAAATTTTATGAATTAACACATCTCCGAATGATCTTCTAATGGTGCTGCCTGAAAACATGTGTACATAGTAAATAATTCATGCTGGAGTTCAGTAACTTGTGAAAATTGCTGGTTAGGGAAGCGATGGATAGAGCTCAGGGAAAAGGGGATGCTGGTTAATGAGGGCTTGGCAGGGTGTTAATGTAAATATTAACACTAAAATGCCACAGGAAGGTTTAATGGCAGGGCTGCTGTGATCCACAGATGAACAATTAGAGGGAGGCTGGAGCTAATGAACCTATGAATAACTAATTGAGGTCGATGGGAGATAACTCCTGTCATCCTGAACATCTCATCCAGGCCTTCCAGGGAGCCACATTCTGTCTCTGAAAGCTGGGAGGGGCTTTGGTCAGGGCATGGAGGGACAGGACACAGGGAATGGCTCCACTGCCAGGGGCAGGGCTGGATGGGAGATTGGGAATTGGGAATTGTTCCCTGGCAGGGTGGGCAGGGCTGGCACAGGGTGCCCAGAGCAGCTGGGGCTGCCCCTGGATCCCTGGCAGTGCCCAAGGCCAGGCTGGACACTGGGGCTGGGAGCAGCCTGGGACAGGGGAAGGTGTCCCTGCCACGTTCTGGGATTCTGTGATTCTCCTTCAAAAGTTACCCACTGCAAATTAAAACCGAAGGCCAAAATCTAGGCATGTTTTTGTAAATCATTAATTAAAATTATCTTTAGATCTGTGAAGTGTTGTCTTTGACTTTCAAGCATTTACAGTAAATCTTTCTTCACCACCATTCCTTTAAACAAAAAGCAGCTTTGAGTGGAAAACTGGATTTCTTCAAACCATAGACACATTGCTGTGGTGATTAATTTCAAGTCAAATCCTTTTTGAAGATCTTTTCATGTGCAAGTCGTGGTGCTGACAGGAGAGACACCATGGTGATGACAGGGGATTAAAAGACATTTCAGTGCATGGCTCTCCCCTCGTGCTGAGCTGAATGCTCAGAACAAAAGTGGTGTTTGGCCACAGAGAAATGGGAAAAGGCAGGGCCTGGGAGGGGTCACAAATGTGCCAGTGCAGGGATCCAGGCAGGTTCTGCAAGCACGTGTGGGAAGGACTGGGCTGGTTCTGGAGGGCAGCAGGGGGAGACCTGCCAGAGGGGGAGACCTGCCAGAGGGGTGAGACCTGCCAGAGGGGGAGACCTGCCAGAGGGGGAGACCTGCCAGAGCCTGGCGTGCTGCAGGCACCCTGCTCAGCCCCAGGGCTGGCTGTCTGTGTGCAGACAGTCTGTCTGTCTGTCTGTCCGTGTGCAGGGCAGTGTGTCCAGGTGTCAGGGCAGTGTGTCCAGGTGCAGGGGAAGTGTGTCCAGGTGCCAGGGCTGTCTGTCTGTCCCTGTGCAGGGCTGTCTGTCTGTCTGTCCCTGTGCAGGGCAGTGTGTCCAGGTGCAGGGCAGTGTGTCCGTGTGCAGGGCAGTGTGTCCGTGTGCAGGGCTGTCTGTCTGTCCCTGTGCAGGGCAGTGTGTCCGTGTGCAGGGCAGTGTGTCCGTGTGCAGGGCTGTCTGTCTGTCCCTGTGCAGGGCTGTCTGTCTGTCCGTGTGCAGGGCTGTCTGTCCAGACGCAGGGCAGTGTGTCCAGCTGCCAGGACAGTCTGTCCAGCTGCCAGGGCCACTGCCTGACCCTGCTCTCTGTCAGAAGCCGGTGGTGGAGACGTTCTATGGCTACGACGAGGAGGCTTCCCTGGAGTCTGATGGTTCCTCCATCTCCTACCAAACGGACCGCACTGACCAGACCCCCTGCACGCCCGAGGACGACCTGGAAGAGGTACTCCCCAAAAACCCCTGTGGTTTGCTGCTGACCTTGGTGCTGGCTTTAATGAGCTCCCTGCTCGGTTCCATCACTTCTGTCTGTCATTGCTGCTCTCTCGTATCTGTTCTATCATTCTGTCACCCCAGACCACAAAATGAACACTTTGTTAAATTTGGTGCAGTGCCTGTTGGTCGGTATCTCTACATCTCAGGTTGTCAGTAACTTCACTACTTCCATCCAAGCTGGAAATCCCATATCCTAAGAATATTGAATTTATGGCAGGGTTGCAGGTCTAAAAACTGAGAAATTGGACAGGCCTTGGGAGGTGTGTTCACTCTGAGCCTGGCTGCATTTTGGCAGGTGCAGTTTGGGCCAGCCGAGCTCAGCACTGAGCAGCAAGGTCTGTGGTGGTGGGGGCTGAAAGAGGGAGTGAATGCTCCCCTGAGCTCTGGGCTCCAGGGAAAGGCTGGTTCCTGGCTGGGCTCCGGAGGCTCTGAGAGCAGAGCACACAAATGTCATACAAATTAAAGGGATTATTCCTTGGGTTTGCCAGGGCTTCCCCACAAACGCACTCCCCAGTGTGTGTCAGATCACTGGCCCATTACACAGCTCTGGGCTTAACAAGAATCTTGTAATAAACAAGAATTGCCCCTGATGATGTGCAGCCTTTTCACGGTGTGCTGGCTGCAGTGTGTAATTCAATCTGCTGAAAGGGAACCTGCAGAATTCCTCACTCCATCATGAAAGATACCTGATGGTTACCAGGCTGCACTGCAGGAAATCTGAATGTATTTGTGTATGCATGAGCCTGGTTATTTTTCATTCCTGTATTGACATTCTTCCCCCCCGTTCAGCCAGTGGGAAGTTGATGCGTGCACCCAGCAATGTAATTCCATTTCATGTTGAGTGAAATATTCCGGTCAGCCTGACATGAAAGCGTTCCATACTGGATATTGTAAGGAGGGTGAAGAAGATGAAGGGCTCCTTTCATGTTGCTGTCACCACTTCAACAACTATTAACTCTGGATTCGTGTTTTAATAATTGAGTGAGGCTGTCAGGCTTGGTTTCCTTTCCAAATTGAAACCTTTTGTTGTTAAAGAAAGCTGCATTTTCACCTTTAATGTGATGATTTTCCCTGTTGCAGTAAGAAAGGGTGGTGCAGTCATTAGTGTGCTATATGGAAGGTAAGCCTTTATCTTTCCAAGGCAGGATTATCTTTTTATTTCTGTGTTGCATTTCCTGGAGGTAAGAGCGTGCAAGATGTGTGTGGGACGGAGGGGACGCAGCTTGGGGGCACTTAACCGAGACTTTTTGCACCCTGCTTCCAAACTGCGTTTCAGAAGCGGCAATTCTGGCGCTTTGGAGAGCAAGCACAGCCAGCGTGCTGTTGCTTTGTGCTTGCAGGGCATGGCCAAGGAGGAGACGGAGCTGCGGTTCCGGCAGCTGACCATGGAGTACCAGGCGCTGCAGCGCGCCTACGCCCTGCTGCAGGAGCAGGTCGGGGGCACCCTGGATGCTGAGCGAGAAGTCAAGGTCTGCAGGGCTTGCATGGCACGGGCAGGGGGCCGGGGGCTGCCGGGGTGGCTGGGACCCACAGGGCCGGCTCGGGGTGTCCTCCAGCTCTGCTGGGGCTCGCCCAGGCGGCTCCAGGAGCTCTGGCTGCTGCCAGCCCCCTGGGAAGGGCTGCTGAGAATCCACCACGGCTGCAGCTCGGGCTCTGCACCTCTGAGCTGTTCAAGGGAAATCCAGGGAGAATTTTCCGTGGGAAATCCTTGAAAGTAAGCTCTTTTTCTGTAAAGAACTGGGACAGATAGCCTTAAATATATAATGCGTGGTCTTTAATTCCTTCTGGGCTCTGAGAGATTACATGATTCCTCATAAAATGTTTAGAAGGCTTATAGCTGAGATTTTTCTGTTAATTAAATTGCTAAGTGCCCTGTGCTATTCTGCCTGTCTGCCTCACAGTTCCTGTGGCAGCTGGCCTGAAGTGCTGCTTTTGTTAGGAGCTTGTTGTGTGCCGAGGAGTGACGGGGGAATTGTTCCTGGCAGGGTGGGCAGGGCTGGCACAGGGTGCCCAGAGCAGCTGGGGCTGCCCCTGGATCCCTGGCAGTGCCCAAGGCCAGGCTGGAGCACCTGGGACAGGGGAAGGTGTCCCTGCCATGGCAGGGCTGGCACTGATGGGATTTGGGGTCTCTCCCACCCAAAGCATTCCCTGACTCCCTGAAGGGCTGGCAGGATGGGTCATGCCCAGCCTGCAGGGGTGGCTGCAGTCAGCAAAGGGACAAATTTGCTGTTTAACAGGAGAAAGGTGCCTGGGGAGCCCTCACTTGTTCCTACACCTGTTCTGTGGAGGTGTTATCCAGGAGCACTGGGAGCGGGTCACGGTGTAATGCATGAAAACTGACATTCCCAGCATTGTTCCCAGAATGAGCACCTCTGAAACATCAGGGATTGCACCTGGAAGGAAAATCCCAGCGAGCCAAGGCGTGCCCAGCTGTGAGAGTGACTGGATTTTAGTCTTTCCATAGTGGGCCAAAGGAGGCAGCAGAGTGGGTCATGTAAACAAAATCACTTTCAGTGTGAACTATGGGATAAATAGCAGAGAAACGGCTCAAGGAAAGAAAACACGCTGTGAAAGTGTGTAACAAATACAACAACTGACAATAATTACATTTGCTCTCCAGAAAACACGTGTAGGAATGTGGTGTCCATTTCAATAAGCAGGAAGCTACAAATACAGTACAAACTGAGAGAGGGGCATGAAATGGATATGGCACTACATCATAGATGAGGTTCTAAGTCACAGATAAGGCACCAAAGGCACAAAGGTCAATGAAATTTGCCAGTTTGCAATGTGGGCTCTGCTCTGAGTGTTCAATGTGTCCCAGATTTAAGGGTGTGCCCAGAGTTGTGCCATCATAATTGTCATTGGTTTTCCTGGAGAAAGGGAGGCTCTGGCTGCAGCTGCCCAGAGCAGCTGTGAGGGGCCAGCTCTGCTTTGCCATCTTGTTAATCTTCAGTTAAATCTCAAAATCAGTAATCCTATCTCCCAGACTTGATTTGATTACATTTGATTATTTGATACTCTGTGCTCAGCTGCAAATTTCTTCTGCCAAAGAACTTTCAAAATCATTTGTTAAAAGCATTTGGTGTTTAAAACATTTTCTGTAACTCCATTAGGTTTGGTCTTTTGGAGAAAGTTTGATTCTATTTTAAATTTATTTTTAAATTCTTCTTTATAGATTTTTTGGGTTATTTTGTTTCTCTCTCCTATCCCACAGACACGTGAGCAGCTCCAAGCAGAAATACACCGGTCCCAGGCTCAGATAGAAGACCTGGAGAAGGCTCTGGCTGAGCAGGGACAGGTAATGCTGACTCCAGCCCTTCCCCACCTCTCTGCTGGAGGCCCAGAAAGGTTCCCAGGCTGGTTACAGCTTGTGCACCTCTTCTGCTGACAAACAAACAAACAAACAAACAAAAAAAAACCACAGCAGTAAACAGAAAATGGTTTTGAGGACAATAAAATATTAATAATTCAAACATTGCCTTCCCAGCTTAACCCCTTCTAGTTGTTCTTGCTGGGTTTGTGGGTTTTATATTCCTCAGACTGAGATTAGCTTCCAGATAAAGTTTAGTTTGCCTGATCTGCAAAAAAAAAAAAAAAAACAAACCAGCAGTAAACAGCAAATGTTTTTGAGGACAATAAAATATTAATAATTCAAACATTGCCTTCCCAGCTTAACCCCTTCTAGTTGTTCTTGCTGGGTTTGTGGGTTTTATATTCCTCAGACTGAGATTAGCTTCCAGATAAAGTTTAGTTTGCCTGATCTGCAGAAATATGTAATTTGCATTTAGCAAAATAGAAATTTGATAGTAAACACATAGTTGGGAATATCCCTTTGAATGCAAACCAGATTTTAGCTGAAAGAGTTTTTTAATCACTGGGATGTGTTTATTCCATTTGCCCACTACAGAGCTGTTAAAATGCCAGGGCAAGTTTAGCTTAGGAGGTTACTTTGGGAAGTGATGGGCTCCCAGACTGCCGGCTGTCGTTGCTCTGCCCTGTGAGGCTCAGTGAAACCCCTGCTGCTGTGCTGGTAAATGCCCAGCCTCACCTGCAGTGCTGTTCGTTTCCTCCCCAAGGACATGAAGTGGATTGAGGAGAAGCAGGCGCTGTACAGGAGGAATCAGGAGCTGGTAGAAAAGGTACTCAGCGTTTCCATTTGCTTTACTCAAATAACACTTGTGATTGAGGGAGGCAGAAGGGGCAGTACTCCACCTGTGTGGCACTGCCCTGCTGGAAATCACTCATGCCAATACGAGATGCTCAGAAAGCTGCTGGAGAAGCAGGGCTCTGGCAATGCCCGTGGTGCTGAGTGTGTCCTGTGCACGAGGACAGTGCTCTGGGGCCAGACTTGTGTGCTCTGGGGGTGTGTGTGTGTGCTCTGGGGGTGTGTGTGTGTGTGGGTGTGTGTGTGCCCTGGGTGTGTGTGGGTGTGTGTGTGCCCTGGGTGTGTGTGTGTGTGTGTGTGTGTGTGTGCCCTGGGGCCAGACTTGTGTTCTCTGGGTGTGCGTGTGCCCTGGGGGTGTGTGAGTGTGCCCTGGGGGTGTGTGTGTGTGCCCTGTGTGCCCTGGGGGTGTGTGTGTGCCCTGCCCTGGGGGTGTGTGCCCTGCCCTGGGTGTGTGTGCGCCCTGTGTGCCCTGGGTGTGTGTGCCCTGCCCTGGGGGTGTGTGTGTGCCCTGGGGGTGTGTGTGTGTGTGTGTGCCCTGGGGGTGTGCCCTGCCCTGGGTGCGTGCCCTGCCCTGGGGGTGTGTGTGTGTGTGTGCCCTGGGAGTGTGTGAGTGCCCTGTCCCATGCCCGTGCCCTGTGCCCTGGCAGATCAGGCAGATGGAGGCCGAGGAGGCACGCCTCAAGCACGACGTGCAGGACGCCAAGGACCAGAACGAGCTGCTGGAGTTCAGGATCCTGGAGCTGGAGGTGAGCCGTGGGCAGCCCCTGCTGCTGGGCACTGCGCTGTGGGGGCACTGCAGAGGGGCCAGCGGCTCCGTGCACAGGCTGCTGAAGGAGGAGAACCACAAACAGTCACAGACTCACACAATCATGAGGCTGGAAGAGACTCTGAGATCATCGAGTCCAACCTGTGTCCTAACACTCTAGCCCCAAGTGCCATGTCCAGCCTTTTTTTAAACACATCCAGAGACGGTGAATCCACCACCTCTCTGGGAAGAGCACTCCAGTACTTTATTTTTCTTTCAGTAAATTTTTTTTTCCTCCAAAAGCAGCACCAACACCGCCGGTGTGGTTGACAGGTGCTGTGGCAGGAGGGTGGGTGGGCTGAGCCAGGCCGGTCCTGATGCTGGGTGTGGCACAGAGGGGTAACCAGGGCTCGTTGTTGTCCTTGCAGGAGAGAGAGAGGCGGTCCCCGGCCATCACCTTCCACCACGGCCCCTTCACGGAGGGGAAGAGCCCCCTGCAGGTGTACTGCGAGGCTGAAGGTGTCACAGTAAGGGATGCTCCTTTCCTCTCCCTCCCTGGGCAAAGCCACGCGCCCTGTGCTGACTCCTGCTTCTCCCTTTCTCTCTGCCAGGACATTGTCGTGGCAGAGCTGATGAAAAAGTTGGACATTTTAGGGGATAACGCCGTAAGTGTATGTTCCTTTAATCAATTGTGCATGCTTTGGGAGCACCTGTCCTGGTGTGCAGTGGGCACAGCTGCCTGCCTTGGTCTGCACGGCCTGTCTGCCTCTGCTCTGGGCTAGAGCAAAGCATGTGCTGCCACGTGCAGTTGTGCTGCCTCCTGCAGAGTGACCTGCAGGGGCTGGTGTCACCACAGTGACACCACAGATCCCTGCTGCTCACACTGCTGCTGGGGTTTGCTGCTCTCTGGCCACTGGGCACACTCGGTTTCCTGATGTGCTTGTCTGCATTTGCTTTGCTTTTGCGTTTCAGCAGCTGTGAGCTTTGAGTGTGCCAATAACCCATTAACCCTTGCGACTCACCAGACCATTAAACAAGAAGCCAAGACAGCAGCGTGAAAAGGAGAAGCAAATACAAGAAACTTGCAGTGCTTCTCCTTCAGCCGGGGCAGTGAATAACTGCACTCATGGAAGGCACACACGTGCTGTGGGTCGTTCCTGTGCTCTCCTCTGTCAGCAGAGCCCCAGGGCTGTGAGGGGCAGGGAGAGCAGAGCCCCTCTCCAGCCCGAGCTCTCACAGAGCCCTCAGCCACGCCAGGGCCCTCCTGGGGACCCCACCCCAGCACTGGGGCTGCAGAAGGGTCCCCACTGTTCTCACAGCTCTGTCCCTGGGCTGCCCCAGCTCTGCTCTGGGCAGGCTGGGCACCAGGGGCTGCCCCAGCTCTCCTGGGGACAGGCTGGGCACCAGGGGCTGCCCAGCTCTCCTGGGGACAGTTTGGGCACCAGGGGCTGCCCCAGCTCTGCTCTGGCAGGCTGGGCACCAGGGGCTGCCCCAGCTCTCCTGGGGACAGTCTGGGCACCAGCAAAGCGCCATCCCCAGGACCATGGCACAACCTGGAGGTACCAGAACTATAAACACCTGAGGGTGGGCAGGGCTGGCACAGGGTGCCCAGAGCAGCTGGGGCTGCCCCTGGATCCCTGGCAGTGCCCAAGGCCAGGCTGGACACTGGGGCTGGAGCACCTGGGACAGGGGAAGGTGTCCCTACCAGGGCAGGGGTGGCACTGGGGGGGATTTAAGGTCCCTTCCCATGCAGAGCATGGCAGGATTCCCTGATTCAGTCCCTGCAGGGTAGCACTGCCATGTCCCAGCACTTCCATGTGCCAGGAGCTCTCCACAGTCCCCCTGCTCAGCACCTGCCCTGGCTCTGCCTCGGGGTCCCACACGAGCCAGGCCCTTCTGCTGTACCTGTGGTCACACTGAAGCTTGGGGTGAAATGCAAAGCCCAGTGCCAGTACCTTGGTTTCTTTGAGAAAGCAACAGGAGATGGATGGAATGGCCAACATCTCAACAAATGCTCCCCAAAATCATCACCTGGCTGCACCAAGTGAGGATGGTGCGTGGGATGAGCACTGCATCTCTCCTCCCCATGGCTCTTTGTGCTGAGCTTGACCTTGTCCTGTGTAAATGTCTGTTTATTCCCTGTGGGGTACAAATAGATCCAGTGTCCCTTTTCTTGACAGTAAATATGAGAATTTGGGAAGAATTATGTGTGGCAAGGATTGGTGCTGAATAGTGACAATGCCTTTTACAATGATTTGGCATTACAATATTAATTTTCTCTGCCTCAGTTTATGATTCTTCAGACATATTTAATTCCAGACACGTTTGAAACAGCAGTGGCCCAAGCAGTGGGTTAGTAACGAGGCACGGGGATTTGTTGTAATTGTGCTCTGTTTTTGGTGCAGAACCTGACCAACGAGGAGCAGGTGGTGATCATCCAGGCCAGGACTGTCCTCACGCTGGCCGAGAAGGTAAGGGGGAGCACAGGCTGGGAGGGGAGGCAGGGCTCCTCCCCTGCTCCTGGCAGCACCAGCCCCTCTGCCAGGGCAGCTGGGGGAGCTGACAGCCCCACACAAAGCCACGGTGCTTCAGGAGGAGTGGCGCTGGGCTTGTCCCAGCACAGCAGGCAGCAGCAGTGAGCACAAGTGCTCCAGTGGCTGTGATGAGCTCAAAGCCAGGGCGGACGGGAAGGGCCAGGCTCTGAGCTGTGGCTGCTCAGAGACAGCAGAGGCTGGCTGAGCTGGGCTCTGCTCTCGGAGCAGCGCCTGCCTGCTGGGCGCCAGGGCTCAGGCTCTGCTCTGTCCCCAGTGGCTCCAGCAGATCGAGGTGACCGAGTCTGCGCTGCAGCAGAAGATGCTGGACCTGGAGAACGAGAAGGTACCGGGGAGGGGCCGCAGGGCACGGGGCTGGGCCCTGCTGGCACTGACTGCCCCTTCCTTGCTCCCCAGGAGCTGTTCAGCAAGCAGAAGGGCTACCTGGACGATGAGCTGGACTTCAGGAAACAGTCCCTGGACCAGGCTCACAAGGTGAGGGCTGCCAGAGGCGGCTGGGTCAGCACACCTGGGGGAGCCCTGTGCCCTGGGCAGTGCTGCTGTGCAGTGCCCAGGGGCCGTGTGGGGTCACAGTCCAGCATCCTCTGCACCCGAGCTCACCAGGACTGCCTCGTGAGCAGAGCTCCTGGGTCTGAGTGCCCCCCCAGGGTTAGCACCTGAACCTTACCTTAACACCAGTTTTAACGCAGCCAAAGCTTCAGTAAAGGACTGACAAGGAAATTAGGTTTTCAGGTTTTCATTTGTCTTGTGTTTTAAAATATATATTTTAGCCTGCATGTTTCTTTGGGTTTTGGATTACACCCTCTGTAACCAGAGCAGCTGGAGGTATTCTGGGATGTGTACATTTGAAATGAAACTGCTTTTAAGTCAGGCTCATCATTAGCTGATCCTAAGGCATTTCACCCATCTTTTCAGTCATCAGCTGTCTTGTTTCTATCAATGACGGAGAGGTTATACGTATATCCACAAAAGGCATACAGTTTCCCCTCAGTTTATCTCATTTTCCCGGTTCTACATAAACCTAGAGCACAGTTTCACGTTCTGAGGAGCAGTGGGTGTTTATGCCTCTGTTTCTGCCTCCTGTTGGCTACTTGTGTCTTGAACCATTTGGGGGAGCTTTTGCTCCATGCATTTTCCGTCCTGTGGGTGATTTTTAGGGCTGATTTTGCCACGTTCTGAGCTGTGTCTGGAACCAAGGCCCAGTGGAAAGCTCGGAAAGCACACGAGCCCCCTGAGCTGTGGCCCCAGCCCTAAAGCACCTTGCAGTGGAATGTCCCTGCCCGTGGCAGGGGATGGAACAAGGTGGCCTTTGAGGGCCAGTCTGGGACTCTGGTTCCATCATCTCCTGTCCTGGCAGCAGTTTGTGCAGCCAAAGGCTGAGTCTGTGATGGGAAGCAGTGAGTGCAAGGAGTGTGCAGCCCAGGCAGAGGGGGCTGAGGCTTATTTGCATTTTCCTGTATTTTCTGCAGGCACCACACACGTGTCCCAGGCACAGCTTTGTTCCAGGGCACAAATGCAGCCTGAGAGCAGCAAAGGAAGCTTTGTTCTGCCCTGGAATTCAAGTGGAAAAAGCTCTTTTGCTTTACAAAATTCGCTTCACTTCCATGTTTCCTTTGTGCCCTGGAGATGAGGAGCAGCTAATCATGATCCCCTGAGGCAGAGCCAACAGGATTAGCAGGCAAAGCCTCAGCCTGGCTGCTGCAGGGTCCTCTCCAGGCAGCACTGGCTGGCCCTGCTGCTGCTCGGGGGGCCAGGAGGGTCCCCCTGCCCCTCTCTGCCCAGGTCAGTGTCTCCAGACAGGGCTGCGGTTGTGTCTGTGAGCCTGGGGCCCGGCAGAAATCCAGGGGTCAGACAGCACTAGGCTAGCAAGGTGGTGCTGTTGTTTTCAAAGGACAAGCAGAATCTTCTCCTGAGACCTGATGTGTTCTTCAAGGATATGCCTGGTTTTCAGCAGGGATCAGCAGTTACCATCAGTTTTCAGCAGTTATCACCAATTATCAGCAATTATCAGCAGTTATCACCAGTTATTGACCAGTTATCAGCAGTTATTGACCAGTTATCACCAGTTATTGACCAGTTATCACCAGTTATTGACCAGTTGTCACTAGTTATTAACCAGTTTTCAGCAGTTGTAGCCAGTTGTCACCAGTTATCAGAAGTTTTCATCAGTTGTCACCAGTTATTAACCAGTTATCAGCAGTTATCACCAGTTATTAACCAGTTGTCACCAGTTATCAGCAGTTATCAGCAGTTACCAGCAGTTACCAGCAGTTATCAGCAGTTATCAGCAGTTATCAGCAGTTATCAGCAGTTATCAGCAGTTATTGACCAGTTATCAGCAGTATCAGCAGTTATCAGCAGTTATTGACCAGTTATCAGCAGTTATCAGCAGTTATTGACCAGTTATCAGCAGTGCCACAGCCCCTGCGTGGTGGCACTGCTCTGCTGGGAGCACTCTGCTCCCCTGGCTCTGCTGAGACCAGTCAGACCCCAGCAGCAGCTCAGCAGGAAAAGGTGCTTTTGAGCTGAGCTGAATGATCACCACAGCCCCAGCAGGGATTTAGATCCCTGTGCATGTGGCACTCGGTGGCCTTGGCGGTGCGGGGGGACAGCTGCCCTGGGGGACTTGGAGACTTTTCCAGCCTCAACAATTCCATGATTCTGCTGCAGTGGGGTTCCCCCGAGGCCATGGAGAGCTCTGCAAGGTGCCACCAGCTCTGGAGGGGGTGTGCAGAGGTGCCACCAGCTGCTGCCTTTTCTCCTGCTCCGGATCAAAGCTGCTGAAATAGATTTCAGCTCGCTGTAGGCTTGCCTGGGGGAACAGCCTTCATCCTGGATTCCAGGGCAGGAGACCCTGCCTGCCAGCACCAGGAGGGTGCCAGGGATGCTCAGAGACCCCAGGGGAGGGTGGCCAGTCCCTCTCCTGCACTTCTCCATCCCAGTGGATGCAGGGGGTCCCTCTCTGCCTGGGAGGGGCAGGACCAGTGCAGGACAGGGTTGTTTCCTTGGGCACAAACCCTCCTGGAGCTCCCAGAGGAGGTGCTGGGAGTGTCTTCCCGTGAGGCTTTTCCCCTGGCTGGTACCCAGTGCTGCACACACACGGCAGGGAGTTGTTCCTTCTGGCAGGAGCAGGGATGGTGCTGCTGTGTGCTCTGCTGGGTAGCAGGAGAGCTGGGAAAGGACAACGAGGGGCTGAAAAATACATGTAAAAATATCTGTAACTCACAAAATGAGTCTTTTATGAACCTCTTTCCTTCTTCCTTTTCCTGTTTACAGTTTCCCTCCTCCCTTTTCCCTCTCCCTTCTCCCTTCCTTTACTTTTTTCCTCCTCTCCCCACGGCCATGTCCCATGCCCAGCAAGGAGAAGCTGGCTCCCACGTTTGTGGGGCAGACCAGGCTGGGCCCAGAGGCTGTCCCAGCCCCAGAGCTGCTCGGAGCCCTGCAGGATGGAGGCAGCCCGGGGTGTTTTCCCCCTGGATGAGTGTCCCGTGCTGGCCTGGTGGAGGCTCAGCACGCAGCCCCTGCACTGCTCCCGTTGCCTTTCAGGGTGGGATGCTCCTCTCCTCACAGACTCCTCACCCAACCAGGGACACGGTCCAGCTGACAGCTTTATATTGTTTTTGATTAGCAAATTCTGGAATTAGAAGCCATGCTCTATGATGCCCTGCAGCAAGAAGCTGGAGCCAAAATTTCCGAACTTCTTTCAGAAGAGGAGAAGGAGAAGCTGAAGAGCGCCGTGGAGCAGTGGAAGCGGCAGGTGATGAGCGAGCTCCGCGAGAGGGACGCGCAGATCCTGCGGGAAAGGATGGAGCTCATCCAGCACGCCCAGCAGGTGCGTGGGGGCAGGAGGGAGGGATGGCCCGGGGGCTGTCCCGAGCTGGCCAGGCCTTGCGTGGCCCGGGATGCCCCTGCACAGGGCAGCGTGCTGCTCCTGCCTTTGTCACACACGGTGACAGCCTCAGAGCGCTCACCCACAGCCTCACACCCACTTGGGTTTGGTAGAAGCACAGCACATCCAGTCCATGTCCCCCATAACCCCCAAACCCATCTTCCGGGTACATCTGTATTTGGTTGGTTAATAAATATTTTTTTATTTGAAATCTGACAGAGAATTAAAGAGCTAGAAGAAAGAATTGAAGGCCAAAAAAGACAAATAAAAGAGTTAGAGGAAAAGGTAAGGTCATGCAGATGGAACAGCTGCTGTGTGTGCACATGACCATTCCCCATCTCACCTGGGCCAAGGAAACCACCTCGGAGAGAGCTGTGTGTGTAGTGCAGTGAGGAAAGGGGACAGCTCCAGGCAAACAGCTTCTCCCTCTGAGGAGGGACATGAGCTGGTTGAATTGAGTCCTCCCTCCCTGCTACCCTTCAGGGCAGCCTGAAACTGGGCAGGGATGGAGCCATGCCCTGGAAGGGCCAGAGCTCTGGGGAAGGGGTGTTACTCCCTGTTCCCCCCATCCCATGCCAGCCCCTGGCCGTGCAGTGCATGGAGCAGCCTTTCCCAGCAGGAACGGGGGCTTTGCTCCCCTCCCTCACCTGCAGCCACAGTTCATGTCATAGTGTGTTCTGCAGGCAGCCAAAACTGCTGTGTTTTACCCAGAACGGCCTCAGTGAGCCCTGCCCTGTCCCAAAACGGCTGTGTTTTACCCCAGAACAGCCTCAGCGAGCCCTGCCCTGTCCCAAAACGGCTGTGTTTTACCCCAGAACGGCCTCAGCGAGCCCTGCCCTGTCCCAAAACGGCTGTGTTTTACCCCAGAACAGCCTCAGCGAGCCCTGCCCTGTCCATGGCATGGCTGTGTTTTACCCCAGAACGGCCTCAGCGAGCCCTGCCCTGTCCCAAAACGGCTGTGTTTTACCCCAGAACGGCCTCAGCGAGCCCTGCCCTGTCCCAAAACGGCTGTGTTTTACCCAAAACGGCCTCAGCGAGCCCTGCCCTGTCCATGGCATGGCTGTGTTTTACCCCAGAACAGCCTCAGCGAGCCCTGCCCTGTCCGTGGCATGGCCAGGCTCAGGTACAGCTCAGCCCCAAGCACTCAGACTTTACCTCACACTCCATATTTCTTCTCACCTGAGAGTTTTGTTGTGCTCTGTCTGTAACCACAGCTTATTTCTCAGTTAAACACACTGTAAACTCTTAATCTCTTTCTTCTCTTCCATTTTTTCCTCTCTTCTCTCCCCTTTTCAGTTTTTATTTTTGTTTTTATTTTTCTCTTTAGCTTTCATTCTTTGGTCATAGTCCTTCAGGCCACATGCACAAGGTAAGCCCTCGAGTCTCCTCTGCTCTCTCCTCTTCTCCTCCTAGAGCATCTCTATTTTCCCATAGAGAAAAGAGCTTCCTTTTGCTGTGTCAGCAGGATTGAAGGGTCTCTTGGGCATGCCAGAGAACCCAAAAATGGAAATCTCCAAATCCTTAAAAAAAAAACAAACGTGAAACCTGGACACCAGCAGGCAAAAACTTGTCAAACAGAACTTCCTTCTTTAGAGGGAAGGACAAGGAAAAATTAAGCAGGCTTAAAAGCAAGGAAACCTCTGGCAAGCCGGGGAGAGCCCCCAGCCTGGGGTGACTCCTGTGCACCAGGGGCAGCTCCAGCTGATCTGTGCTGGAAGCCCATGCAAACCCTCAGCCCCTCTCCTGCCAGCCTGTCCTGCCCCAGGACAGCACCAGGTGGGTTTGGGTGGCATTTACTGGGGTGTGTTCCTCCAGGCATTGGGCCCCAGGGCCTCCCTGAATCCCCTTTTTCCCGTGTAAATAGGGGATAAATTGCCCTATTTCTGTGCGTGCTGCCAGAAATGACCATGGCACGGAGGGAAACACTCCCCACTAACAACAGAAATGGAATATATCCCAGACCCTGCTTTATCAGTTGTACAGTCCAGCAGATAATTGTAAACAGGACCTCACAGAAGTTTAGTGAATGTTATTTTTGCCCAGGGGGGCTTTCTTTGACTGCTGTTTTCCTCTCCTGTTTCAGCCCCCCGAGGCCACTGCAGTGCTCCTGCTGTTCTTCCCAGAGGGACAGCCCTGCTTCCCGAGACCCGCACAGACTTTCCCCGTGCCCCCAGACCTGCCTGGCTCTGTGCTGCTGCCCAGGGCAGGTGCCCTCTGTGGCACTGCCAGCGAGGCTGGGCCGGGCTCTGGGGCAGCCCCTGCACCCCCGAAACGCCCGAGGAGCCTCTGGAGAGGACAGAACTGAGCCCACAGAGAAAGCCAAGAGCTCTGCTCCCGCCCCTCGTGCAGCCCAGGCTGCTCTGGAGTGCCCATCTCTGATTCAGATACACTGAATTTATTCCGCTTCCCTGCTAGGCAGGTGGCAAATTGCTTCTGTGTAGAAGTGCCCGTGTCCTGTTTGTATGCCACACGCTCACGTTCGTTCCACAGTTCTTCAAAAATCTGTCCTGAAAAAGGTTTTAGGAAGCGTTCCAGAGGAGTAGCTCATGAGAAGATGGATGTGAGTGAAAATGAAGTGGTTTGTTCCAAGGCATTTCTCTGTTGCACAGGGTACAGCCCATGCTTTGTTGAATATCCCACGAGCCCAGTTTTAGGAAAAAAACGTAGAGCTACGTTCAGGAAACCAAGCTGTAATTTTTTTTGTTTGTTTGGGGTTTTTTTGTTTTTCTTTTTTTTACTTGTCAGTAAACCATGACGAGAAAAATTACGCAATGATTTATAATTGGCTGTCCCTGAACAATGACAAAAGGCTTAACACTGTCCCAGCAAAAAGTTCAATCTGGAAAAGAGTGAGCTAAACCCGATTATCCCTGATCCACATGTGCTGGGCTGGGAGAGGGAAGAGAAGATGTTGTCACCTGGAAGATGTCCTCACCTGGAAGGTGTCCTCACCTCGGGGAGAGGGAGCACAAGTGCCACAGAGCCCAAGCCCGGGAGGCTGGCACAGGAACCAGGACAGAAAAAGAATCCTCTAGAGAAACAGGTGAAGAGGGGGAAATCCAGAAGAAATTCCAGAGTGTGACTGACCACGCTGGATCCACAGCCAAGCACAGAAATGCAGGGATGAGGAACAAAGCCAGGGATGAAGGACAAAGCCAGGACCAAGGCCAGGGTGAGGAACAAAGCCAGGGATGAAGGACAAAGCCAGGACCAAGGCCAGGGTGAGGAACAAAGCCAGGACCAAGGCCAGGGTGAGGAACAAAGCCAGGGATGAAGGACAAAGCCAGGACCAAGGCCAGGGTGAGGAACAAAGCCAGGACCAAGGCCAGGACCCTGCTGGCAGCCAGGGTCCCACGGTGCCCATTCCCTGGGAGCACAGGAAGGGATCAGAGCTCTGGGCAGGTAAGATGGGCTGACCAGCTGGAAACCCCTTTATCCTGGGATTCTGTGGAACTCCCTCCCCTGCTGGTCTCTCTCACTTGGGTTAAAATACTTCAGGTGGTAACAGAGGAAATACTGAATTTGGTATTGGAATTACCAAAGTCTTTATGCAAATACTATTTAATTATTGCTAATAATTTTGGTGTTAAATTTCTGTTGTGATATAATAACAAATGCTGGGTTTGTGTTTTAGATCAGTGGTCACTCTTAATACAAAATTATTGGGAGGTAATTAAATGCACTGTCAGATTTGTATGGACAGCAAGCAGTCATGCTGCTTTTAAAGAAACATGTTTTAAATGCAGGAAATGAAAATATTTTTCATTTTGCATAGAAAATATAAATACTAATCAGAAAAGTATTTTATTTCACAGTTTCCCCTCACTTTTTTTTTCAAATTTGTGCTGATAAGGAGTTACTTGGCAGATAAACAGGGTGGGGAGAGCAGCAGAGAAAGCTGCAGTTGCACAAGTTTTATAGAAATGTTATTTACATGCCAAATGTATGTATTAATTAGGCATCAAATTGTAATTCCACTACGAGAAGAAGCTCTCCTGTGGGCCAAAGTGGGCAGTGCCCAGGTGGAGTGTGGGCACCCAGGGGTGCCCCCCAGCAGAGACCCACTTTAAAAAGAAAAAAGCAAAAACATTTTAAATGCAGGAAACAAAAATATTTTTAATTTTGCATAGAAGAGATAAATACTAATCGGAAAAGTATTTTATTTCACAATTTCCCCTCACTTTTTTTCAAATTTCTGCTGATAAGGAGTTACTTGGCAGATGAACATGATGGGGAGAGCAGCTTTATAAAAGTGCTATTTACGTGCCAAATTTATGTATTAATCAGGCATCAGATTGTAATTCCACTATGAGAAGAAGCTCTCCTGTGGGCCAAAGTGGGCAGTGCCCAGGTGGGGTGTGGGCACCCAGGGGTGCCCCCCAGCAGAGACCCCATCAGTGGCACCCCAGTGCAGGGTGCTGCAGCCCGGGGAAACTGGGAGCTGTGTGCCCTGGAGGAGAGAATTCTGCTTTACAGGCCATCTGATTGTCCCAGGCAGGATTGGGATGGTATTTCAGTTATTTTTCAGTGTCTCTTTAACTTTGGACACTGGAGGCTTGCAGGGATGGGTAGCACTTGCCTGTGACCAAATAAATAAATTGTCAGTTACCTAAGAGAAATTTTTTATTAGAAATTAACTCTTACATCTATAGAAGAGGCTTTAATGTCCATATTTTTTTCCTTGATTATCTTAATTAATTAAAATTCCCAGCATTTATTATAGCTCCATATGATATTTGTTCATTCAAAGGAAGCAACGTGTGGAACGTGCTGGAACAAATAATATTAAATTATTGCTTTCAATTTTCCAGTGACAGAAGGATAGGGAAAGCACCATGGCAGAGGGGGGAACTACCTGATCTCTGCAGTCCCTTGCTCCCCAGGCCAGTCTGTGTTTGTGATTCTGAAAGCAGCTTGCTGTGTTTAGCTGGGGTCTGTGGAGCTGAGCGTGCCCTGGGGCCGTGGGGAGGTGCCTCTTCCCCAAATGCCAGCCATGGCCACCAGCAGCAAGCCAGTTTTGGCTTCATGGTGGACCCACCTCTTTTCAGATCCTCCTCTAACCCTTGTGTTTCTTACAACAGTATAAATTCTCTTTAGAAATGGCCCTTAATATTTCTAATTAAGAATAAACAATGTATTTCCTACTGCAGGCAGCAATCAGAAATACCAGTTGCAGGAGTTCAGAGCTGGGTGGTTTTATTTCACCGCGGTTACAGGTGTGGTGGGATGGGGACATTTCCCCGGGGGAACCTCCTTCACCCCAGAGCAGGATGGGGACATTTCCCCAGGGGAACCTCCTTCACCCCAGAGCAGATCTGTCCCCGTGAGCCTCTCAGTTTTGTAGGTAATTCCTTTTCCTTGATGACTTTGCCCACGGATCAGTTGAACAGCAGCAGGTTGTTCTGTGCTCCTGGCGTACCCCGCTGTCAGCAGAGGGTGGCTTTGGGGTTTTTCCCCCCTTCAGAAAGGATCCACAGGGGGATGAGGAGCTGCTGGAGCCCTGTGTGTGTGCTCAGCCCCTCTGGAAATGACTTCCTCCACAGGGGCACTAATGAGCTCAGCCTCAGAATGCTAATTGGCGAGTCTGCTGTGCAGGGTGACCCCGGACATCCTTGTTTGAAGTGAAGTGTGGGCAAATTCAGGCAGTCAAGGAGACTCCCATTGAGCAAAGGCGTTCCTGGGAAGGCACTGACTCAAAAGCTTTTATTCCTTTTACCGTGCTGTAAATCTTGCAGGTTTCTCTCTCTCGGTGGAGAGCAGGATTGGCTCAGCAATGGAGGAGAGATTTCCAGTGTGTTAATAACTGTCAATTTGTATAAGAGCAGGGGGTGTCTCCTTGCACGGCGGCTCTGCTCCGCTGTCTCGGGGCTGCTGCAGACTGCAATGCACAGAAATGACAATGTCGGTCTGAATTTGTGCTGAGGCGGGGGACATGGAGGCCCTGGGGCAGGCGAGCGGGGCTGGTGCTGGAGGAGGGCATGGCTGGGAGCTCACCCAGCTCCCCACCGCTCACCCAGCCATCTCTGCTGTGCAGAGGCTGCTCCTCCATGGCTCTGCCAAATCCCACGGGGAAACCCTTCAACAAGGCCAGCTGGGATTTTCCTTCTAAGCAAAACATCTGCTTAATTACAGCAGGCACTTTTGGTTGTGCTTCCTGGGCAGGCTCCGGGGGCAGCCTTGCATTTACCTCTCTGCAGCTAAAGCCTCCCCCTCCTGTGCTGCTGTGGGGGTGTCACACACAGCACAGGGTCCCAGAAGGGTTTGGGTTGGGAGGGCCTTGCAAGGTCACCCCTGCCACGGGCAGGACACCTCCCACACCCCAGGTTGCTCCGAGGCCCCTCCAGCCTTCCCTCCAGTCATTTACATGGGCGTTCCTCTTTCTGTGGGAAATAGAGAAGAGCTTTTTTGGGGTGTGAATTTGTGCAGCAGCAGAAATTTGGTGTCCTGTGTGCTTCCCCCTCAAAACCCCGGTGCCTTCCATCCTCAGCCTGCTCTCAGAAAGAAAACTCCACCTAACTGGCAGGGTAAAAGCCTGCTCCACCAAGCTGGTTTTAAAGATAATCATTCATTTCACCTTTCATTCCCCAAATGGGGATGAATGAAGCTGGGCAGAGCAGCTTCAATTCTCATCACAGCTGAAGGGTTCTACCCGTAATCAGAGTCTTGCTGAGCTCTTGCAAATAATAAGGGCACGTATCTTTGTAGTTTACCAAACTCAGTGTTAGCCTGGAGAATTATTCAGCTGGAAAATCTATCATAAAGCTAGTTTTGTTAAAAGAATGCATTCTGTTTGTAAGCTGTGTTTGTGTAACTAGCCCTGCCCTGGAGGGCTGGGTGCCCAGCGATATGTCTGCACTTGCAGGGCAGCAGAAATGCCAGAGGAAGCTCCCCGGGAAAGGAGAACGTGTCCCAGTCACTAAGGCTGTACAGACCTCACAGATCCGCAGAGGCAGCTGAGGAGGTGCTGCTCTGTCAGTGGCTTTTCCTAGGAGAGCTGCCCGGGGGGCACTTTGCTCCTTGCTGTAAACAAGGATGCTGTGAACACCCCTGGGAGTTGGGGAGGGCAGTGACAGGATTGTCGGGCTGTCACAGAGGGCTGCGCTGGCAATCCAGTGTGGAAAGAAAATGCTGTGGGTTTCTGTGCACATATTTGTATTTATATATGTGTGTGTGTGTAAAATGAGTAGTACCAAGATTTTATCGCAGGTAAATAGTTTGTAATGGAAGGAAACATCTTTTAAACCCCTGCTGTTATGCCTCGAGGGAGCAGCCCTGTTTTCTGCTGCAGCAGACACAGTTTGCAGCAGGTCTGTGTCAGAATCCCCCCGTGCCCGTGGGGCAGAGCCTGACTGTGGGGCCACAGGAGGTGATGCCAGTGCCAGGGCCCAGCCTGGCACGAGAGTGTGCAGGAGGTGGGCAGGAGGGGCTGGAACCAGCCGTGCTGGCTGCTCCCTGCACTCCTGGCCTGGCCGAGCAGGGCTGGCACTGACGGGCACGGCTGCAGTGATGCCCAGCATCCCCAGCCCAGCTCCAGCCTCCCCCGGGCTCCTGGCGCTGCTGGAAACCTTCAGGGGGCCGGGAACAGCGTTTCAGATTCCAGCCCGTGAATATTGATGAGGTGAAGTGCTTTTATGCTCGTGGGTAGTTCCTCTGCTCAGCAAACACTCACAGCGTTTGTCAGCGTAAATGGATATGGTTGGGAACGCTCCTTCCTTGGTAAATTGGACTGGAAAACCCCAGAATTTTCCAAGTCAGTATAGACAGGAACAAAATACACCATGGACATGTTCACTGGGATGTCCTATGAAACAGTGCTCTTAATCATTAAATCTAAAATGAGGAATTAAGTAAGAAATTAAGTGGACAGTGAGGGGCTGCTGATTGCTGGGATTCTCAGGGCTGGTAGCCCATCCCCCAGCCACAAAAACCATGGGACTGGGGCCTGAAATGCAATCAAGAATCTGAATTTTTGCAGAGACTCTGTAGTGAATTGCCTGAGTGTGTTCATGCCCTCACCCTGCTCACAAAAGCAGGTGTTAAAAAATAGCATCTTAAAAAAGAAGGTGCACTTTGTCAAAGCTGGGGGTGCAGCTGAGATTTGGGTAAGTCTATTTGTGTAATCTATTAACTGTTGTTACCCTGATCTTTGGCTGCTTCACTGCAGCCAGCAGTTTCCTCTTTCTTACCAGGAAAAGGGGGAAAAGTAAAAAGAGCTTCCTCTTCTTCCCCAGGGACCTGTCCTGCCCTCTTCCCTGACCTCAAGTGTTCCCCTTTCTGTGGAACCTATTGGAACTAAATGGCCACCGTTTTTAGATGGTTAAATATCTCCCCTCTGTATTTTATTCTGCTTGTGGTTTCTCATCTTCCTGTTCTCTGGGCCCCCTCCCTGCCCTGCAGTATGTCCCAGTGGGTTATTTGCATTTGTGTCCATGTGCACAGGAGGGGTTGAATATGCCATAAATGCCCTCTGTGAATCCAGTGGAGAGGAAGGGAAAAGGCAAGGAAGGCAAGTCTAGCCCATTGTTCTTTGCATGGACGTGAAACTCCACCTGTTTATTCTCAACGGGGGCATGAGTGGGAAGATGAGAGATTCCCCATCCCCACCTCCTGGGGCTGCTGGGGTCCCAGTGAGGATGGGGTCCAGCCCCCGAGGCCACAGCCCCCCGAGGGGCTCTCTGATCCCCTCCTTCCCACTGCAGGGATCCCAGAGGGATCCATGATTTACTGTCCCACTGGCAGGCAGCAGCGGGTCCCAGGCTGGATTCAGGTTTAGCAGTGATGAACCTCAGGCTCCTCCAGGCAGACTCTTCGTTGGGAGAGAGGGCTGAGCTGCCTCAGAACCACCTCCAGCATCGCTTCACCTGCTTGGTAACTCTGCTCAAGGGGCTCAGTGGGGCATTCCCTTGGCCAGTCCAGGTGCTGCCCGGTGGTTCTGGTGCCTTTTCCTTACTCCCCAAACATGTCCCAGCTTTTCCCAGCAGCCCAGGATGCTGTCAGGTGCCTCCCCCAGCCATATGGTCCCTTGTGATATATATAAATAAACCTATGTATATATAA